GGATTTGCCAATTACTATCGGATCTTCATCAAAGACTTCTCACGAGTTGCAGCTCCACTTACACGCTTGACTAGTAAAGATAAATTCCAATGGAATCAAGAAGCGGAAGCAGCATTTGAAGCCTTAAAGACATCGTTTGTCTCTGCACCAGTCTTATATCGTGTTGACTTTTCCAAGGTATTTTTTATGGAAACAGACGCATCGGATTTTGCCTTGGGTACAGTTTTATCACAAATGGGAACAGATGATAAATTTCATCCGATAGCTTTTCATTCAAGAAAATTCTCAGCAGCCGAGATCAATTATGAGATCCACGATAAAGAACTTCTTGCAATCGTGGATTCTTTTCAAGAATGGCGTCATTATCTAGAAGGTGCTTCTAGTCCAGTCACTGTGTATACAGATCACAAGAACCTCGAGTATTTCATGTCAGCACGCGTGTTGAATCGTCGTCAAGCTCGTTGGAGTATGTCTTTATTAAGATTCGACTTCATTATCACTTATCGGCCAGGAAAACAACAAGGTTTGTCCGATGCCCTGTCTAGACGTTCTTATTTTGTACCAAAAGAAGGAGATGCAGCTTTTGAGCAACAAAGAACGGTCCTCTTGAAACCGGAGCAATTTCATCTCCGAGCAGTGAAATCAACACTGACTGTTGATTCAACTTTTCTCAAGCAAATCCAGTCCAGTATGTCCTCAGACCCTCTTGTTCATGATATCGAGAATAATTCTTCCAAGTCTCATGATTCTTCTAAGTTCGAGTTCAAGAATAATCTATTATATTTTGAAGGACGCCTATATGTTCCAGAAGGAAAAGCACGTTTGCGTGTTCTTCAAGCACGTCATGACTTTCCAGCAGCAGGTCACTTTGGATATAATAAGACTTTGGAACTCATATCAAGAGATTTTTGGTGGCCACAAATGTGGAAGTCAGTCAAAGACTTTGTACAATCATGTGATATTTGTTCAAGATCAAAAATTCCTCGACATTGACCTTACGGACTTCTTCAGCCATTACCTATACCAGAACAACCATGGTCTTCTGTTTCTATGGATTTCATCACAGATCTTCCAAGCTCAAGATCTTATGATTCTATATTTGTGATAGTAGATCGTTTCACCAAGATGGCACATTTTATGCCATGTACAAAATCTATCACAGGTGAAGAAACAGCTAAGCTTTTCATTGATAATATCTATCGCTATCATGGATTACCTAAAGATATCATATCGGATAGGGGAACTCAATTTGTGTCGAGATTCTGGAGGACTCTTTTCAAGATTTTAAAAGTGGACATAAAGCTATCTTCAGCTTTCCATCCTCAAACTGATGGACAAACAGAGCGCGTAAACCAAGTCTTGGAACAGTATTTAAGGTGTACCATCAACTACCAACAAGATGATTGGACAATCCTTCTGCCATTGGCAGAGTTTGCTTATAATAATACAGTACATTCCTCCACGCAACAAACACCTTTCTTTGCCAATTATGGCTATCATCTACGACTTGATACTTTTGATTTTTCAAAAGTTGATAATCCTGCAGCAGAAGATATGGCAAATCGGTTGTCAGAGTTACATGCAATAATGAAGGTGCAGTTGAAGAAAGCTCAAGAACGACAAAAGATAAATGCAGATGTATATCGTAAAGAGCAACCACAACTCAACGTGGGTGATAAGGTATAGCTACTTCGTCGCAATATCAAGACCACTCGACCTTGTGACAAATTGGACTATTGTAGGCTTGGCCCCTTTTCTGTTTCTGAACAGATCAACCCAGTTGCATATCGGTTACATCTACCGGAGTCAATGAAGATCCATCCTGTATTCCACGTGTCTCTTCTTGAACCATATAAGACAGTGGATATACAAGGAAGAAGACAAATGCCACCGCCTCCTATAGAAGTAGATAATAATGAAGAATTTGAGGTGGAAGAGATATTAGACTCAAGGCGGCGCCGAAATAAGCTGGAATATCTTGTTCATTGGCGCGGATATGATATTAGTGAGCGCACATGGGAGCCATCCAGGAATCTAGCAAATGCATCAGCTAAAGTCAAAGTTTTTCATCAACGACATCCATCAAAACCAAGATGAAAACCTCTCTTATAAAAGAGACAAGATTGAGGCAAGATAACATTCAATTTCCTATCCTTGTTTGTAACTTCTTTGCATTTGTGACGCTAATTAGATGGAGAGCCAACAACCAGCGGATTCAACTCAAGAACCTTCGTTTGCTGACTTACCGGATGAGACATTGCGATTGTCACAACCTTCAAGACGACGCAACCGAGATGAAGACCCTCAAGAACGACATGTTCTTCCTCGAATAGATGGTGAGATACAACGCATTTGGTATCACGACCTTGGAAGAGATTCTCGATGTTTGGTGATATTATTGGAGATAGGAACGACTTCTGATGGTATTTCAAATGTATTATTTGAAGGAAGTTATGAAGGCCTCAACAGTGATCAAATAACAGGGTGGTCTTCTCGCCCTGGAATGGGACACTATCGATGGCTAAGAGGACCCATCAACTATCTTCGAAGAGAACAAAGATCAGAGTATGTAGCAAATACAATTCGCCGCATATTAGATTTTTTCAATATATAATCACCGCTCCTTGTGGAACTCGTCCCTAGAAGGGGGGGTAATGTCACGGACATACATATAATTACCTATATGAATAGATAAAAGTATGTAAAAGTAGATAAAAGTAGGTTAATTGTGTAATATCTTCTAGAGAAGCTTCTTAGAAGCTTCATAGACGCTGCTTTGACTTTATAGGAGTCTATAGTTGACTTTTAGGCTAGAAACTTGGTCAACAAGTTAGCCATGTGCCACACATGTTGGAAGCTTAAAGAACAAGCTAACTACGTGGTCCATCCATAGAAAACTTACCTTGCAAGCAAAGGCATGTGGCCTAGAAAGTCAACATATATTGGAGGTCTTATAGAACATCGCCATGTGGCTTCTAGTTAGATAGTATATATAGAGGCAAGAGTGAAGCCCTCTTCACTCTTGTCAACTCCTTTCTTGCTTCTAGTCTAGTTTCAAGGGTCTCTAGTTTTCTTGTATTTTGGCAATAGCCATTCCAATTTCTTTCTTAATATACATATTTCTATTTTGTCCTATTTCTTTGAGAAAAGTCTCACTTACTCTTTAGCTTTCATCGAGTTCTTGTCCTTGACACAAACTGATACTTAAATATCTTGTATGCAAATTACTCTAAACAATCTATAGATTGAAGTAATCATTTTGAGCATAATATCTAAAAATCAAGACTTACTTTCAAAATATTGAATAGATGTAAAGTAATCTTAATCCTAATTTGTACTATCTAATCAAAAAAACCTCCATTGTAATTCTTTTCTACATTGATGATCTTTTGATTGTTAAGAATGATAATAAAGAATAAATTAAAATATTTATAGTTATTATAATTTTAGATTTAACCTTTATATATTAGGTATGAAAAAAATAGAAAGAATTTTTTTAAATTAAATATTATGTTTTAAAGATATTATTCATAATTTATATTTAAAATTCAATGCTTTTATTTACAAAAGTCTTAATAGTGACTTGATTTTGGAAATTTTATAGAAAATATTATATTTCATAATATATTTGAAATATTCTTTATATTAGTTTTGTATATCTATTTCAAAAATAACTTCAATAAATGGATTTTTTATAAAATGATTTTAGATATATACTGAAAATGTATTTAGATTTATCATTAATTTAATTTTCAATCTTAAAAAAATTAAATATCATTGATTTATCATCACATCATTTAATACCTTAAAGATTTTTAGAATCATTAGCATGTATATAAAAATAGAAAAATCTTAGAAAAAAAAATTTAAATCTTATTTAAAAAAATATATTTGAATCTTCAAAAAAAAGTATTTTGATTATTTTAAGTTAATTATATAATAAATTTTTAAATGATCTAAATGCTTTAAAGACATGTTTGCATGGTTAGTAGAATTTTGCAACACAATATAAGATTACCATTAAAATATTCTTCTAAAATATTTGCATTGCATTCTCATCAAAGCTTTTTACAACCTTTATAGGATGTATCAATTCAGTATTACATTACATTACATTACAGCTCATATGCAATTAATTTTAACAAGTATCAAAATAAAACTCTTAACACAAAGTATCTTACAGTTTAGACTATAACACAATATAATACTTTGGGTTATTGTCTAAATTGTAAGATCCATCTCAAATTTATTTATATACTAGTACCAAAGTCTCATTTGTTGCTTCTATGTATATATATATATATATATATATAGAAATGTATATTATCTTAGAAAAAATTAAGATAAATACATTTTTTATAATATAAATTTTGTTTTCTTTGATTTATCAATATTATTAATTTTGTATTGTCTTTTGATTCATTGAAAGGTTAATGTACTGCCAGAACAGACCAATGCACTATTCTTTGAATTTATTTATATACTCATTAATGGTTTTGTCCATATCAAATAACTTGCAAAGAGTTGATCTCCAACAAATCATTAATTCCCAGGCATATTAAATAAGCATGATCTATATTTTATATTATTTTTATATAATGTACTATTTCCTACACGCTACCTGTTTTTGATGTTGTAGGTTTTCTTTTTGACTACTCTGAGCCAGGATAATTAATTTGTATCAACTTGCCAATATTTTAAAGATAAAATCATGAAAACTCTACTAAAAAAATTAGTCCAGAATATTTACCAGAGAATCTTGTCGAATTTTGAAATGAATCAGATGCCAATTTTTTTGATCAAATCTTTTAAACTCTTTACTGTGTAATTATGTCATGACTCCTTACAAGATTTCAGGCAATCAGATCTTGTGATAATCCTACCCTAAACCAATGATTTGCAATGACCTTGAACTACAACAAGATAGATTGATACAGTAAGGTTAGCAGGTCAAATCTCAACTGTGAAATCTATAACTTTAACTCATGGATGCAAATATGGAAATAACCATTCTCTATTATTAAATTTAAAAAAAAAAACAAACAAAGAACAATAACTACAAATTCTGGGTCAATGTTTGTCGCTTTCGTGAGACGATTCAAAAGCAAGGAAGATGTACCAAAGCATAGACTTCACCGAAGACTCGCCGTCACTGTAGTCCTGCACAGAACTGACATAATTATCAGACACATGGATGTGAAAAGCATTGAAGCAGGGCTGGCAGCTGAGAATCACACCAAACTCTGGACGCATGAGAGATGATCGCACTGCAGTTGCATCATGCTACTTTGTTTTCAAGGTCTAAATGGCTCGATGGCTACTTGAGATGTGACTCAGGAATTGGGGCCATTTGTAGACGTTTCCAAGTCTCGCATCAATGAGCAGAGCCGCAAACATTAATGGCAGTAGCAAGCGGCAAAGTTACATCATCTGCGTCGATCAGTACAGTGGTGATCAACCTCCGGCCTGGACGGGGATGTCAGTGTGCGTTGACTGAATCTATGCAGAAAACATTTCGTTCATGAAATCATCAACCGCTCTTGAAGCTGTTGGAGAGCTGCGAGTAAGTAAATGGCATTATACCTGTAGCCCCAACTCACTTTCACTGGAGAGATGTTCGGTGGGCAGTACCAGTTGCTAATCAGCGTATAACAAGATTGATATAGTAGGGGATACTAGTGGATACTCTAATTCTAGATGTTAGTGTTGGTACTTTCGTACGCTGAAATATTTAATAATAGGGCAGATATATCACGTCATTGTGTAACCTTCATTGGTTTCTACTTCGATCTCAACCGAGCAGTACAGTTGTGTTTTTCGTAGATTTGGATCAGCCCACTTAGCAATTTAAGGATCCCTGAAAATTCGTCTTGGTGCTTGTGCTTCTGTAAGTGAGTCCCTAATCCGGGATGTCACTTCTTCAAGCCTGTCAAAGAAATGACGGCGCTGAGGTAGTGTCCATCCATTATAGCTCTGCGAAAGTTTTGCTTCATCGTGGTGAAGGGCGGGAATCGAGCAGGGACGTCACCCAGGTTATTCCTGTACAGCACCGCTTTTTTGTGACTGAAGGCGTCGAAGGAGAATTTGCCATGGTATGAGCTCATTCCACTCTCGCCGACGCCTCCGAAAGGTAGACCAGGATTCAAGAACTGCAAACATACGGGAGGCACAGTCAATTCCTTACAGATCACGTCTTGAAGCCAGAAGGCATCTCTAGAAAGCAGCAAGTATCCCATCCAATGGTTTGTTGTGGTCTCTGAATTGCTCACATGCACAATGGTGTCATTAACAACCATGCCACCGGAAGAAATGCTCGCTACAATCCGCTTTTCCACCTCCTTGTTCTTGGTAAACACATATGCCACCAACGGCTTCGGCCGGTCGCTGATGATGTCTATGGCCTCTTGCACTCCCTTCACCTGCTTCCACAATTAATAAAGTCAGCAATCACTTACCAGCCAACGTACTATTACACCTAGAACTAAGGTTTAGCGCTGTAGAGGCAACAAGACTGATCACCTTGATGATTGGCAAAATTGGGCCGAAAATTTCCTCTGACATCAAAGTCGAGTCCATAGGGACGTCGCATACGAGCGTCGGAGAAATGTACCTGCAGGAAGTCATGAGCTAAGCCAGAAGATTGCTGAAGCTCAAATACATGTAAAGAACCTTGCACGTCTCGTCGGACAGCGCCATACTGATGGAGGACTAGAGTACTTACAACTTGTTATCATCTCTAGCTCCACCATGAACAATCTTGGAAGATATTTTAGGATCGTCCAGAAAGCCGGCGAGACGTGAGTAGTGTTTGGTGTTCACGATTCGAGACAAATCTTGTGATGTTTTGGGATCTTTTCCGTAGAATGTTTCAATGACGTCTATCAGAGTGTCAACCTGTGATTCCATCATCGAAGCCAACATGGATAAGCATAAAGAACATCCTGAACTGTAATGTGAAGAACCCACTAGATGCGATAGTTTGGCGTCTCTGAAACCTCTGCACCAGAAGAAAAGGATAATACTGACCACTTCAGACGCGATGATCTCGTCTATCAAAAGGTAATCTGGTGCAATGCAAGCCTGTCCGTTGTTGCAGCCCCATTTTCCGAGCGCAATTCTCCTCAATCCTACCTGAAAATTCATTCATAACACAGCAGATCATTATCTGTGAGACAACGAAGAAAAACGTTGCAACCTCCACATACAACAGAGAATAATAGTAGAAATCCAAACTAACAAAGCTCTTTGAATACCTTCAAATCGGCTGTGCGATCAATGTACACCGGACACTTCCCACCAAGCTCCAGTGTCACAGGAGTGAGATGCTTGGAGGCCGCAGCCATGACAATTCTTCCCACTCTAGGACTTCCTGCCACCCAATCCGACCACATATCAGGGAATTCGTTTGGAACTTGCGAAGAATCGAGCATCGATCTGTAGCTCGTTTTCAGTCACCCTTGTGCAAGATTGTACGCACCTGTGTAAAAGATTTTGTCCCATTGCTGATCCAGCAACACAGTGGTCTCATCAACACCACCTTCCACCACTCGAATGACGGAGCTGTCCAAGTAAAGAGGGACGAGCTTGGAAAGAAGGGCCGCCGTCGCGGGGGCAACCTCCGAAGGCTTGAGCACCATCGCACAACCCGCAGAGATGGCTCCAACCAGAGGTTCTACGGACAACACTACAATGAAGAAGCTCAATTACTTAACCCCTGATTAAAAGCACCAACACGTCCGATCGAGCCAGTATGCATGAATTTTGGATGTCTTACAGAAGGGGAAATTCCATGCAGAAATCACAAGCGCCACTCCAAGTGGCTCAGCTACAATTGCTCCCCAAGATGGAAAAGTTGTTATGCTTCCAGATACCTACAGCCACAGTTTAGACACCATCAATGCCTGGATGCAGAATGCGAAGCTCTGCAACCGCATTGAAGGTATCAACAAACCTCAAAGGCCACAGAGGAGAACACGCTGAGAATTGTATTGTATTTTGATTCTGCGATATGCAATAGAGCATACATTCATTTTTGCACATACAAACTTTATTCTTTTACACTACTTAAAAAACCAGAGACCTTGAGCGGAGCCATCCATTTCTTGAGCTCTTTGATGGCAAGTTTGCAAGCTGATCGCACCAGGGACACCTGCATTTTCATAACAATGTCATTGTAAATGCAGTCAGCAGCCTTACACAAAACTGGAGGACACATTAGCAGCGTCAAGACCCAGTAAGACGAAGTAGATACGTCGCGGGTTTGAAACGTAGTCTACAACTGACCTCGGTGACGTAAGACTCGTGCGAGGGCTTGCCGAGGTCGGTGTACAGGGTCTGCACGATTTCGCTCTCGCGCTCAGAGATCATACGGATAATTCCATTCAACTGCTGGACCCGCCAGGCCGCTGGTCTCGTCCTCCCGTTCCTGTATGCTTCCCTCACCTCAGTCACCAGTCGCGGCAACTCTGCAGCGCCACGAACCGCACCTCGGCCTCCCACTTCCAAGTCTTCCTCCATCACCACTGCTCCGTCAACAGAAACGTAGTCTCACTTCCAAAACGTGACACCCTCTTCGCAACAAGGATTCTAGATCCTGCTCCGCGACTGCGAACTCCGAATCACCCGGCACTGAAAGCGCCCTCTGTTTCTACAAGAGCCAATTCTGCGACAGACCGAACTGACGATTCCCTAATTCCATGAACGAGCTTGAGAAATCGACTCTACAGAACGAATTGCGACTAGAGGGGCCCAGGGATCTAAATCGGAAGCCTGCACAAGGCCCGTGAAGTCGTCCTCATCAGTCGCTCACCCTTAAAGCAAAAGCATTTCATTATTTGTAATCATTCCCCCGCTCCCACACGCATTACAATCGTGTGAATCGAGAAGTAACATCTCGACGTCTCGTGATTTTACAGGGACAAAGGGGCAGAAGTTGATGGTGGCTCGAGTGCCGCACGTTGCGACCTGATTGACGGCATGCAGCAAGACACAGACACCGAGTCTCTCCAGCTCTTCCATCGGGCAGCCGATGTAAAGTGCTCCAGGAATAACCAAAAAGATAGGTTTGGTTTCATCGAAGAACATGAAATAGTGGGCCAGAACTATGCATAGGATGACATCTTCCTATCTTCATGAGTAACTCGTTATTTCGTCAACACTATATTGTATGTTCAGTCAACTATGTGATTTTTACTGGTCCACATTTTTTTTCACATCCAATTTATTTACTTATTTTCAAAGGAATACTTCTTTGTCTTAAGCCCACAATAGAGTGTCTAGCTTATAGTAAATCAAAGAGTTGAGACAAATGGGGTTGTAGAATAAGAATGCAGTTAATGACCCACCTTCTATGTCAGGACGATTTGCTCTAGTCTGACTAATTAATCCACCCACTAGTTGCTCCACTGTAAGGGGACAAGAGAAGTAATCAATTAATTGTTTACTTGACATGCCATCACAATGGGAATGACTATGTAGCTCTAACATTACTCTAAAATATTGTGGGAACATTCAATGGGTGCTTGTTTCCATTATGCTGTTTTCTCTCAATACTTGAAAAAAAGAGAACAATTATATTGAAAATGGTTCACTGCACATGTATGATGACTTGGAATCTTCCACTTCTATGCTCTTAAATGTATCTCATGAAACTATTGTCCAGTTTAGTGGAATGAGACACCCCCCCCCCCCATTTGTTGCAGTAATGGAAAACCACCTCCTCCAACTCATGATGTGGCAGTGCACCTGCTGTGCTCCATTAGCATGGCATGATCTCTCAAGTGCAGTCAAAGAAATTCAGTATATTGCTGAGGTATGCAAACATACCAAACAGGAACTATTACTTTTCATTTTGCAGTAAAGTACACATTTATTTGTGTCTAAAAATTAAAAAAATAAAAAACAACTCACCAAAATCATCAGAGTGTGAACAAGGTTGCAGACAGAACAAAAGCCACCCCTCACCCAAGAAGTGAAACCACACCATGTGAGGTTTGGGACCAAGTGACATAAAGGTTTGGTACCATGCCATGAAAAAAGGTCTAGTACGGTGGCACTGGCTGGTAGGCAAGCAAAGCCTGTGGGTGGGAGTGGCCATTGTGTATCCATTCTGTGTGTCAGCCATGTCTTGGAACGTAGGAACTGGTTAATGACAGACCTGGATTTGTGCTGCACTTGCCAGGCATGGAAGCTGGCTGCACAGCAATCTCTGGCATGGACAACTATGAGCTTGTGATTGCATTCACCAACTGTGCCCTAATCCATGTGTCCACCCACACTCCTTCCCTTGATTTCCTCCCTTCACTTCACCTATTCCTCCCTCCACTTTCATGGTCATTGAAGGCCTTGAAGGACATCTTGTAAGTGTTCTTGTATGGGAGGGGAAAAACACAGAGTGTGGGACTTGTGGCTTGGCACTCTAGGATTCTGCAGAGGGAAGGGCATTCATCCACTCCTCCCTTGTTGGATGTGAAATTATGGGTGATGCCCATTCCATACTCTGCGGAATGCATTATCGTTTGCATTTTTAAAATAATTTTTGACTGTAGTAGTGTATATATATATATATATATATATAATATAAAGAAAAAAATAATAATTAAAGGAAAGCACCTGCCATGAATGAACTCAAGGTCTCATTAATGAAAAAGCATGACATACAAATGAGGAATTTTGAAGAAAGAAAGAGTAGTTCAAAGTATTTCAATTTATGTACAATTACCAAGAATGTTCACCATAAATTCCCTTATTTTGTGAGTTATAATATTAAATTTTCTTTCTAAATAATTAATAAGATCTAAATACAAGTTAAATTTTATATTAAATATGATACAAATTATAAAAATCAAATATTTAATATATATTTTTATAAATAAAGTATTTAATTATTTCAATATTATATTTTAAAATTTTTAATAAGATTATTTAGCTTATTTAAGATTATCAAGGTGTTCCTAAATACTTTATAAATTTTTTTTTTTAGTTATAAATTCAACTTCAAGATAAAATCATATATATATATATATATATATATTTATTCCAATAATTACTTAGATAATATGAATATGTAGAAATAGATTAAAATAGATGAATTTGATAATATCTTATAGATAAGCTTTTAGAAGATACATAAATGTGATTTTGACTTTACATGTATTTCTAATTGATTAGTAGATTAGAAACTTAGCCAATAAGTTAGCCATGTCTCACATAAGTTGGTAGTTTGTGATATAAGCTAATTATATGGCACACATATAAAAAACTTCTCTTACAAGTTAAGACATTTGTCTCAAAAGTTGTATACATATTAAAGGTCCTATAAAACATTGCCATAAAGTTCTTAATTAGATAGTATATAAAAGAGGCAAGAGTAAAGCCTTCTTTAATTATTAGTCTTATTTCAAGACTCTTGTCAATACCTTTCTAGTCTTTAGTCTTATTTTAAGATTCTCTAATCTTATTGTCTTTGGTAGTAGCCATTTTAATTATAATATTATACTATTTTGTATGAATATCTACTCTTTTCAAGTGATACAAGAGTGTTTTGAGTTTTTATTTATTTAAGTTTAATGTCTTTAATAGTTTGACAAGAGTAGTAATTGATTGTTTTTATTTTGATTCAGAAGTGAATAGATTATATCATTTCTATTGTTATGTTTTGAAGGTTGAGGACTATCCATCTTTAAACTAATATTTTAGTTTTTTATTATTAATTATTTTCTTTAGAAGAGTGGACTACCTCTCTTTGTCAAATTTTTTATTTAATATTAGATGTTATGAATTACCTTCTTCTAATTTGATTTATAGATATTTTGAGTTATTTATAGAATAAAAAAATAAGAATGCCACTCTTGGCATAAGTAAAAATAGATTTGTAACTATTGTAGATCTTCATGAGCTTGTCAATATTTGTAAAGTAGAAATTTCATGTATTATTAATATCTACTATAGAATTATTATTCCTATATTTATGAAAGTAGTCAATAATAATATTCAAAGTCTATCCTAAGAAGTTGTATAATTGATAGAGATAAGAGGATCAAATTTTTTATCTAAATCTAAGAAGTCTTACTACTACAAGTATGAGAGAAGCAAGGATAAGTATATTAGAGAAGTTTGATGGAACAAGTTCAAAGTCTTGAGGATGTTTAGAACAAATGAAGGTCTACCTAAGGTTTCATCTTTCTCAATATATTCATGGATTTATTCAAAATGGATTCATATATACAATTCTATTTAGAAGTATTCTTTCTTAATTTGTTTTAAGGATATGAACTGAAAGAAGATGCATAAACCTGAGAAATTTGTGTCAAAAGAAAAGAAACAAAATAGAAATAAAGAAATATGTATATTAAAAAGAAATTAAAATAGTTATTGTCAAAAGACAAAGAAACTAAAGACTGTTGAATCTAGACTAGAAACAAGAAAAGAATTGTCAAGAGTGAAGAAGGCTTGACTATTGCCTCTATATATACTATCTACCTAGAATCTATGTGGCAACATTCTATAGGACCTCCATAAATGTATTGACTTTGCGTGACACGTAACTTGACTTGTAAGGCAAGTTTTTTATATGGACGTCACATAGTTAGCTTGTTTTGCAAGCTACTAACAAAAGTGACATATGAATAGCTTTTTGACTAAGTTTTTAACCTACCAATCAACTACAAACATATGTAAAGTCAAAATAGCATCTAGGAAGCTTCTCTAGAAGGTATTATGAAATTAATCTATTTTTACTTACTTCTACCTATTTATATTACTTAGGTAATAATTACAATAAATAAATATATATATATATATATATATATATATATATATATAATACTCTGCGTCTTTGATCAAAAATGATTTGTATCTCTTTTATGATCTAAATTCATTCTTAGAAGTATTTATAGCCACATTTAGAGAAAGTCAACAAGAAATGATAGCAGCTATCAAATTTATATCTTTACAACAAAAATTATATTCAACCACCATATATGGTACTGAATTCCAAAACCTTAGTTGAGACGTTGTTATATGGCATAATTTTCTATCTAAGAATATATTGGATACCTAACTGTAGAGAGTGTAGCTTTAACTTATTGATCAAGCTCTAATAATTGATTTATTATTATTATAGAAGTAAAATATAAGCAATAATATTAAAAAAATTATACCAATAAAAACCTTTTATATTTTGATAAAATTTATATATAAGGCTTTTTAAAGCATCTAAAAATTTTCTAACATCCTTTGTCATATCAAATCATAACTAATGATTTTCAAATAAGTTAAATTTCTAATAAGCTTAAAGAAAATCCATAATCTCTTTCCAAAAATTCATATTTATATCATAATTTTATCATAGCTCTATAACTCCATCTTTAACATATGTATAAAGTCTTGACTTCCAAAAATTCCTTTATTTTACATAAAATATTAAAATTGTAGCAAAATCCTTTGAAAATATTTTTTTCTTGTTTAAGATTTTTTTATCTAAAGTTTAGAATTTTATATCTTTTGATTCAATCCTTCAATTTTTTTCAAATTTCTAGATGATGTAGTATTTATTCTTAAGCTTTACAAAAAAAAATGAACCATAATTTTATTGCAATCATCTTATATCTTAAAAACCTTGGTAGGTGCTCTAAATCCAAATTTACAAGTATTTGAGTATTATTTTCTTCATATCTCAAAAATTCTAATTTCAAATTCTATAAAATTTTATAGATAGTTTTAAAATATAATAATACATATTTTTGAAAATATTTAGCCAAATATTTTTCCAGATGCTTTAGTTATGGCTAGATCCAAATCTCTCATGAAATTGATTTATTGAGAAATATCAATTTGGAAGTATTGTCTTCAAGTAGTCATTGCTTCCTTAAATCAAATTTAAACCTTTCTTATTCAACATGAAAAATATAGCTCTTTAAACCAACTTTTTAATTACACAATCTAAACTT